CATTTTTACGAAAAGAAATAAATTTAAAACACAAGTTGTTGTGGCTGATTGCTATTGCATCAGTTCTGACTCATAGCGAACCCCGTATAGCAGGGTTAGTGACGCTGAGTCAATTCCAACCCCTAACGGCCCTGTATAGGGTTTCCAAGAAGCAGCTGGTGAGCTTGAACCACCAGCCTTGCAACTGAAACGACTTTGCAGTCTGACGCATTAGCTCAGAGTGCCAGGGTGGGTAGTAGCCTTTTTTCTGTCAAAAGCAATAACATCATTCAAAATTAGTCATACAAAATTAGCAACTTAAAAATTTGCCTGCTCTATTTGGTCAAACATTTAATTAACTCACCCCCTAATGTGATGAGCTCTGGCAGCGTAGTGGTGGTTACTAATCGGGCTGCGAACCTTAAAGTCAGTGGTTCGAAACTACCAGCCGCTCCACGGGAGAAAGATGAGGCTTTCTACTCCCGTAAAGATTTACACCCTCGAAAATCCTATACAGGGTCGCTATGGGTCGGAACCGACTCGACGGCACTTAACAACAACATCATCAGTACTATTGCATATCTAGCCATTATCTTATCCATGTAATCATTAATTCCTAACTGAAAATGCTGCTTTCATAGTCTGATTCACATCAGGAGTTTGCCCTCCAGCTTAGGCAACCTTTCTAAGACTAGGTGACCAAGGAGATGATGATAAGGCAGGTTTTCAGCTGTCATCGCTTTTTCTTCTTCTATTATATAACTGCACACTCATTAGAAAATGTTGATCCTATTTCCCAAATGTGAGTCCCAAACAGAAAGCAACAGAATTGACACAGTGGGAACGCTGCAAAGGCCCTGTCTGGGGGTTTCCTGTGATATATTGGTCCAGGGGCTCAGGTGGACCAATTTGCAGCCTCGTCTCTACTCCCTCGGGCTTTTCACTTGCCCTGCCCTATTGATGGCAAGTGTAGGAAGGAGGGGAAGAGAATAGAGACACATGTCTTATTCAGACACACAAACTACTGGAAATTAGAATAAATAGGTGTTTGGGACTGCTCTGGGACTAAGCACTTCTATATATGTGGATTTTTGAAGTCTTTAATAACTTGATTTTCTTCATGTTTTACAGAACTCTGTGTGTTCCCTGACAGATTTGTGGTCTGTGCAAGTCAAATAACAGTCAATTGTGATCTTGTGTCAAGTCGGACTGAAGAATCGGTATGTCTCAAAAAAATTCTATCAACAATTGTGTTTAAATACTGGTTTTTGCAAAAGATAGGGAAAAAATGTGTCTTTTGTTGTAACTCACCCATTGCACAATCAACACTTGTTTTAGGAGACCAAAATTATCCTACCTATTTTGTATGGTGATATTGATTAATTGATGTGTTTTCTTTCCCCTGAATGCCCCTTAAATATTGAGCTTGATTAGCAGAATCACTCCCATATCAATTTTAAGTGATAAAGCAACACATCACAAAATCTGTATTGGTACCTATATAATACTTCAGTGAAATAATGCCAAGTCTTTAAATGAAATGGAGCAAAATCCACATGGTTTTTGGAAGCCTTCATTGGAGTCAAGAGCTTTTGAATTTTATTTTGTGGTGAATCCCTGACATTTTCATGAGATCTAGTACTTTCCCCAGTGTATTTTTTCCTAGATGATAGGGTTTGCACATGTTTGTTTTTTTCTCTCTCTCTCCTCATGCTAAGTCTTAAGTTCCATTAGCGCTTTCTTCTATGTTTCATTGAAGTTGTCTGTTCAGACAAATAGATACAGAAAACTTGCTTATACTGCTTCCGTTACAGACTTGTCTTTTAAGATGAACAGATATACTTGAGTTGTCACATGTCTGTACATGTGCACACAGACACAGTCTTTCCATAAACACATAGTGAAGCTCACTGAGGGCACAATGCAGTCTACCTGAAGTTACCTGTGCACCAACTCTATGTTTTTTGTTTGTTTGCTTGCTTGCTATATAACTTGAAACTTTTACAGAGACAGAGAGAAAAAAAAAAAAAGACTAGTGGACATTAACATGGCCTTAAAGTATTATATGATTATTGTGCTTCAAAAATTATTTATGGGAATATTAGATGAGCCCTGATATTATTTTCTGATCCATATGAAATTTGAGAATTTGGCCCATGCTGCCTAGAATCAACTTCTTATCTTAAATAAATACACGGGGAGAGTGTTTCAGAACTATAGGGTGAATAGAGATGAAAGAAAAGTAAAGAACAGAGAACTCCTATTTAAATCTAGACTCCTTCGTTTCGAGCAGAGGGTCTTTCAGAAAAGTCAGTGTGATCTTTATATTTCCTTTTCTTTATCCATCAGTGAAATCTTGAAGTATACGTATGAAAAGGAATTAATTTAGTCAATTTGGTATAAAAACTATTAGACATTTAATTATTATTTGAAACATTCCAGGATGTCAAGTTAGCTTACTAAGTTAATAAATCTTAAAGTAGTACTGGTGTGGCACTGTGGGATAAAGCTCTGAACTGCAAGGCCAGTTTGAGTCACAAGATTGGTGGTTCAAACCCCCCATCCACTGCTCAGACTCACAGGGTCACTAGGAGTCAGAACCAATTCGACAGCACTTAACAACAACAAAGTTGTAATCGTATTGGCATACAAGTATAATATAATTCAGTTTGACTAATTTTTAAAGCAAGGAAGAAATTGATCTAAGGTGTAAGAAAACCAAATATTGCTTTCAGATGGGATGCAGGAGAAATTAGATCATATGCGTCAATTCCGACCCATAGCGGCCCTGTATAGGAGCAGCTGGTGAGCTTGAACTGCCGACCTTGCAGTTCAAACGACTTTGCAGTCTGACGCATTAGCCCACAGCACCACACCAGGACTCCTACAAAATATTAATACTTATTATCTTAAATTATTAAGAGAAAATTAAAGCACTATCTCAATACAAATGAAATATGATCCCCTTTATGGGAACTGGTATTTATACAGATGTAAATTTTCTGCCGCTGCTGTCATATGGATCCTATAATCTGGAGGACTGCCTAAATGTGAAGAATTTTCTTTGTGAAAAGATAGATGATCAGTCTGTTTTCATGTCTAGTTACAAAATTCTGTCAGAATTCACCAAATTAGCTTATAAGAAAAAATGCAAATTTACATCATAAGGATCTTTCATTGTTTTGAGTCCCTTCAGTGACTCTGACAGAGTCTCTGTCTATTCAGTTACTCTTTTCCCATGTATTTTCCCAGCCACATGCAAGTCTGCACAAACCGAACAAAACTCAACAGAGTCATCCCTAAGATGCAAGCTCTGTGCAACCCATTTGCTAAAGCAAGCTTAGCTGTACACCCCTCCTCAATTCCTTCAGCCCACTCCTTCCTTAAGCTTGTTGTCCCTGTTGTTCTGTGCTGTTGAATTGAATATGACACATAGCCAGTCCCTAGAAACAAAAAAGTATCTAAGCCAAGTAAAAATCATCTCCTACAAATTGCTTGTCAAGCCAATGCCGTGGTTCTGCTGCCAGAAGTGCCTCGAAGCCTTATCCCCATTGATATTTGACCTCTGGAGAGTCCATGGGTCTGTTATTTAATGATCAATAAACAGTCCTTCCCTTTCAGAATTGCCTTTATCTGAGAGAAGACATTCTTATCCCTTGCTATATTTCTCATGTCCAAAGCCAGAAATGCCATGCTTGTGTAAGTATTTGTTGAATCATCGAAAATTTTCCATTCTTTTATCAGTTTGCATTGACATTCATCACAGGGTAGAATCCATCTCATTTTCTGTTGATCATGATTCTTAAAGAACATCGGACTGGGCCAGGCCTGGAAAATTGGTTTCCTGCATAGCTATATTGGAGATAGTTCTTTGGCAGTAAACTTGAGGTTTATTTTCTTAATAACTGTTCATGTAACTTACTATGGCCGGGGAGTGAGTGAGTACCCAAGCAACAGCCTGATGCCTCACTAATGTAGGGCTGTTGCCTCGAGTAGCACGATTCCTTTCCCTTCCTACTTTTGTTTTCTGTTTTGGATCTTCAATGTCTAAGTGACAATTTGCTAGGAAATCTGGGCATGCCTATTCAGGACTGCTCTGTCAGGGGATTCTTTCAGTCTGTAGACAAGGAAGCCAGCTGCTCTCAGCTCCCGGTTCTTAAAGATGGTACACAAAAGAACCGCTGTTCCATATCAGGCAGTACAAAGGAAGTGCAAGCCCCCTTCCTTGGGAGGCAGGCCAGGGGCAGCCAGGCTGTCCACTAACCCTGCAGCACCAGGGAGGGCTCTTCTCTGCTATTGACATTTCTGTCATCTACACAGGGATGCTGGTGCAGGGAGATGCTCCGTGTTGTCGTAGCTTTGCACCAAGTTCCCATCTGCTATGTATGTGGGAATTGTAATATGTACTTTGGGGGAGAGAAGGCATTATTATGAAATGAGTCATTGTGTTTTTCTTAAGAAATTGCAAAACCCTTGAAGCCTCAGTCTTTGACCAACTGCTAGAATTGGAACAGGGGAATCTTGATACTTTATGCTTTTGTTTTTTTGTTTTGATTTTCTTTCTCTCACCTCTTTTGTATCCCCTAGAAATAAATAGCAAGAAGGTAATGTAAATCTTTGTTTCATTCAGTTGTATTCCAACAGCAATTTCTTTGATACTTGCAAATCCAAATCTGCCTAGAGACTACTAGTTCCTTTGTCCGATGCGAAACCCTGGAGCCTTAGAGAAATTTAAAGTTATTTATCTTTATTTTCTTCATTAAACTTTTGTATACTATAGTATATATCTGGGACATTTCAGGATCAGCGTAAAGCTACTGTCCTATAGTGACTTGGTTACAACTCCGCCTCCTAATCTCTGGAGACCCTTTTCATCTATTCCTATCACATTAGCACTAGTTGTTTGGTGCCAGTTCAGGAACTCTGGTAGGCTGGGTGAAAAAAAGGAAGGTAAGGAAGTCCCCTTGTTGCTTTGTGTCATCAAGTTTGTACCAATTCATGGTAACCATGTATAGCGTTTTTGAGGCTGTATGTCTTTATAGGAAAAGAAAATCTCATCATTCCCCTGTGGAGCAGCTGGCAGATTAGAACTGCTGACCTTGTGGATAGTAGCCCAACGTGTAAGTTGCTACACTACCAGGATGCAGTTCTGTGACTCAGGGGTACTGAGAGGTTTCCTAAGCTAATAAAAGTCTGTGATCCATCTGGAAAATAATAAATGACATTTAGTTCGAGAGCTGCTTTAAAATAGACAAATACGTTAAGATATTTGGATTCTTCACGTTGTATTCCAGCTGAGTTGTGGCTAAAGTTGTCAGGAGCTCTGGCAGTGTAGTGGTTACAAGTCGGGCTGCTAACCTCAAGGTCAGCAGTTCGAAACTACCAGCCGTTCCGCAGGAGAAAGATGAGACTTTCTGCTCCCATAAAGATTTACAGCCTCAGAACCCTGGTGCAGGCTCGCTATGAGTCGGGACTGACTCCATGGCACATAACCACCACCCCAGCCACACATGACCAAGTCCTGCTCTAGCATTATGTCAGGAGAGTTATGGTGTGGATCTCCAGACAAGGGACAGTACTTAAAAATGCAATTGAACACTTCCCTTAATGTAAACTGCTTTTTAGAGAATTCTCTTTCTAGTTTATAAATGTAAAATGAAAACAAACCTACAGAAGCAGTAAATTACCCTACTGTAGGGTTTTAGTTTGGCTCATGTTGCATGTCATTGAATCTTTGTGGGCCTTAGCTCTCCCCTCAGTCTAGAGAGAGGGTATCAAATTATCTGAAAAGACCTTGCTCAGAGTGAATTTTCATCAGAGGAAGCAGATGAGAGGTAGCCAAATAAAAAACATAAAATAATCTTGACAAGAGAACTTAATAGATTTAAAAATTGTGAAGCAAAAGAAAATAAAAGTGAAGGTAAAATTAAATTTATATTCTGACTCCTAGAGACCCTATAGGACAAAGCAGAACTGTCTCTTAGGGTTTCCAAGGCTGGAAATCTTGAAGGACGCAGACTGCCATATGTAGTTCCTGTGGTGTCCTTTTCAGTAGAGATAAATGAAAATTATAGAGACATTTTACACCTTTTTTTTAGGACAGAAGAAGTAACCTACTTAATATCTGACTGTGTATTAAATTCTGACAAAATTATTTAACTTTCATGAAGAAATGTGTATAAATGTAAATTAGAGCAGTTAAGAAAATTTTTTTGTACATTAAA